CCAACTCCACCACCGAGCTAACACTCCCGCTCACACGAGATGGTCGTATGATGCTCCACCCTGTTTCACCCGAGTGCATGCCGGCAAATTTGCCTTCACCCTCACTAAACTTCCTCCACACGAGAACCAGTCGGCCTTCTTCATTAAATCGACGAATAACACAATGCTGAGCAACCCATAGACCTCCCTGTCCTTCAATTCTGCATTTGGTTATTGTCGTATCACCAGGAACCCACGACAAATATTGTGAGTTCTACTCAAAATTTCCAAAAGGCGCCGATTCAATCGACCCTGGCAAATGGCCGTGCAATCGCCAAACCCATGCTAAATAATAGAAATATGTTTTACGATAGTTAAATTACCAGTGGCTTCCCCAACACTGCTTCACAAGAGAAGTTCACGGCAACGACAAGGATGCCCACTCCGCCACCGTTTTCAGCACGTACTCCCCCACTCAGAAAATCACCACGGCTGCCTGCGTCATCACCAAACCCGGACAGGGGTATGACTACAAGAAGATCGCCAACGACAACGTCAGTGCCGACCCCGCCAGCTAGAAGATCGCCTCAGCTGGCTCAAGCGAGTACTGTAGTTGGAGTTACTACACTAGCTGTAATGCTGTAAATAACCAACCAACAAGGGACGGCAATGTCGACGAGTACGCCAACACCGTCAGCGCCACCAACAAGGAAATCCTCGAGAATCCAGGGCTCCAACGAAAGATCCAGTGCCAACAAAATACTGACACCACCGAGAACTCCAAGACCCGTGAGAGATCACTAACCAACTAGAGCTCCAGTGCCACCAAGGTATACAACTCCAACGGAATCTACCACTCCAAGGCGAACGAGAATACCAGCGCCCCAAAACAAACAAGTCCTAACTACAACAGTGACGAGAATTCTAGCGAACCGAGAGCACTGTCACGAACGAAAACTGCAACCCAAACAAGAACTTCAACTCCAACGAGAGCTCCGATGCCAGTAAGAACACCAGGGTACCTGCAAATAAGTGTTAGTTCAAGCATAAACGACCACTAGTATAGTCGCCGTCCGTTTCCTTTCTGGTAGGCACTCCAATCGTGAACTCATCAGTGATAGGTTATAAGTTAGATAATTCTGACCAATCGTTACTGCTTGGTGATTGTTCGACTATTCAGCTGATGGTGGCAAATAGACCCGATTTTGTAAATTTGGGCGGAATCGACAATATTTGAAGGCGTCAGAACGACACACCTAACCGTAACGTTTTCAATTCGCTAAATACACAGAGAATTATATATATCAGATATCTAATTGGCTAATATTAGTTGTGGTGTACCTCGATCACAATCATGATGTTTTATCTGTCGGAAAGATCACTATATTCTTCCATAACCAGATGTCGCCAATGTGGCTCGCCAACGCCTTCCAGTGGCCCGTGTGGGCGTCTTCCTGTTGTCTGGGACTCCTCATGTGCCTTCTATCCCTGCACATTATCGAAAAGTTGTTTGTGGTGCAGAGATCCAGCCAGAAACTCAGCAATGCCCAGCCCAAGACCACGATGGTCAATGTGACTTTTGCACACTTCCAGCAGCAGTATCTTGTCGTCTACGGGCTCGTCATGTTCGCCGATTGGTTGCAAGGCACGCACATGTATAGTTTGTACCAGGTACGCAGTTGCTTATGCACCATTGTGATGACGAAGCGACTTAGCTGACTCTCGCCGTTGCCTTTGCGGTTGGACAGAGCTACGACGTGAATGTGGGTGCGCTGTTCCTTACAGGATTCCTGTCTTCGGTACTGTTTGGCAATTTTGTTGGGCCACTGGTGGACAAGTATGGACGACGTAAGGCGTGCTTGGTGTATTGCGCTTTGGAGGTTGGGAAAGGTGGTGAAAGAGTTGAGCGGCTTCGACAGTAGTAGTGACTCCTGTTGCTGTTGTTGCGGTAGATCGTTATCAACATTTTAGAGGATGTACCGATCATGGCTGTGCTATTGGTTGGGAGAGTGCTCGGTGGGATTTCGACGTCGCTGCTTTTCTCGGCGTTCGAGAGCTGGATGGTCACTGAGCATCGACAACGCGGTGAGTTCTAAGTTGCAATTGCTTTACACAGCGTCTTGCACTAATGGTCGTGCTTATCTCTCGCTCAGGTTTTGCAGATAGTCTGCTTGGAAAGACTTTCGCTCTTGGATCAGAGATTAACGGTGTTGTTGCAGTGATCGCGGGACTTGTAGCTCAGCTTACTGCTGATGCTTTTGGAGATATCGGGCCCTTTCGTGCTGCAGTTGTTGTGACTGCCATTGCTACTTTGTTCGTATTCTCTTGGTCTGAGAACTACGGATCGCCATCCGGAGATGATAGCAAGGAGGTTCAAAAGGCAGAACACTGCGGAGTAACAAGCAACTCCGGTTTGACACTGGATTCGTATGCCTTAGGCCTTTGTTATTCGCTTTTTGAAGGAGCGATGTACGTGTTTGGTAAGCCTCAAATTTCGATTACAGCTACTTCCTGGGCTAATTATTCCTACTGTAGTGTTCCTGTGGTATCCCACACTGGAAGCTGTCTTGCCTAGCGGTAAACTGCCAAGTGGTCTGGTATTTTCGAGCTTCATGCTTTGTATAGCTATCGGTGGCAAGCTTTTCGATTTTGTTGGCAACTTATGGATTCGAGAGGAACTTTTGGTGCTGGTTACTGCTGCTGTAGCTTCGATCTCACTACTTATTCCAACGGTTCGGTTTGGTGACGTCGTCAATGGTATCATTCGTTTAAAGCAGCTGACAAGTATTGTTGTTCTGGTGTGTAAAGGT